GGGGGGGGGGGGCAAGGCCGACAGACGCGTGGGAAAGAGGGGACACCACAGGCACATCCCCCTTGTAAATACGCACGGAAGGCGGCAGGACTGGGGCGGGCGGATCGTGTGTGAAAGCAAAGGGCCGGTCCTGGGACAAGGGGAGCCGGACGGGGGGGAGGGGGGAGGTGGAGCTTTGCTAGTCAGCGTTTCGACCTTTTAACCTTGTGGCTCGGCAGAGCTTGGGGTACTTTTGTCCTGAAATGGCACGGCCAAAGTCAGGGCTGAACCAAAAGCTGATGGACAGAGACGCGCGAGTCGGCGATGTGAGTGAAATAGCAGTCTGCAGCAGCAGCAGCAGCAGCAGCGGTGGGCCGCGTTCAGGGTCGAGCTTGTGTGATGCTGCTGTTGACGCAAACGCGCGTAGCTTTAGGTGCTCTCGTTTTTTTAACTCGGCGCGTAGATACAACATAGCGCAGCTGGTTGGTGGTTGCGTGCATACAAACGAAACCATCCGGTCGAGCGGGCTGGTCGCACACACCAGCACTACGGTGGCCGTGCTGGCCTGTCTTGTTTCTGTCTTTCACACCCGAGGTGTGTTTTTTCATCTACCCAGCACCCGAAAGCGTTCCGTCTCTCTTTCTTCCCAAGCGTGCCTCTGGGCGAGTTCTGCGTACAGCGATAACATTGTGGTTCCCATCGTTCCACGGAGTAATCTAGCCACCTCTTTTGTTTCGTCCTGGTCCATCCCCCCTTCGCCCTTTTCGTCCGTCCAGAGAATTGTCCTCTCTCTCTGTCTCGGCTGCGGTGCCCCCCTTACTTTTTTCCTGTTGTTTTTTCCTTTGTTTCGTGTCCGCCTTTTTGCTTGTCAGAAATCGCGAGGAGGCCCTCGCACAAGGGATGTCTTCGAGACGAGATACGGATACTCATGGGACCTGTGCATGATCTTCCCGACAGATGTGAGAGCTTGCCATTGCTGGGTAAATGGCTGTGGGCGACGAGGGGTAGCTGGTGCTGCCTCCAGTAGTAGATATTTTGAGTTCTGGCAAGTCAGAGAGCTTACCTCAAAGCTGCTGGTGGTAGCTCAGGATGACGAGGGACAGCCGGTGTTTCGTGCTAGGTAGTATGTTGTGCGGTCCCGCTGTTGAGTTCTGGCAAGTCGAACGGAGCGGCGACACAAGGGCTGGTTCCCAGATTGATTTCGGTGCTACTTAGATACTTTTTGGGGGGGCGAGCATCCTCTGTCCCCTGCAAGAAAACACGTGCCGGTTGTTGGACTTCTTCCTATTCTGGTAGATAGCCCATTTGCCGACGTTGGGTTCGACCCCCCCCCCCTAGTGCACTCTCTCCGTTGTTTCATGTGGAAGTGTCGCGGCCTTCCTTGCGTGCCTTTGCCTGCCTTTGCCTGCCTGCACAGCCGCCATCGGGAGTGCCGCACGCTTCTGAGATCATCCGGAGGCTTCACAACGCCGGCATGGAGACGTACCTCTACTACTCCGTGCAGATGGACGAAATCATCTGCAAGATCCGGTGAGGACGGAGAGGACGGAGAGAGACCTACCGGATCTTGCATACCTTACCTTGCCGGGAGATGTTTTTGGTACAATATCACACTTGTTTTTGTACTCGTTTTTTGTGTCTGTGTGCTGTTTGGTGTCTTCGCTTCCAACGTCTTTTACTTGTTGTCTGGCGGGGCACCACCCATGTTTGGGTTGCTTTGACGACTTACCGGATGGAGGCTGGCAACTTGAGTGGGGTGCCTCACTCTTCTTTCGGGTTGGTACGGTTGTGGTTCGCCGTGGGAAGCGGGCGTAAGCGAGGCATGGACAACCGCTGTCACGTATTCCTTGAATTCCTTGACAAAGGAGCGCGAACACGTATGATGGACAGTACGCGTGAGGGTTCGAAATACCTATGCATACGTTGATTTAGAATCTGTGGAGGCGACCTTCGAAAGGGATGACGCTTGGGTCTATCGAGGACGATTGGTTCATTCCCTCTTTTCCACGTGTCTCTTCCGTGTGTCTCTGTCCTTTTCCCCCCGCCCCTCTATCTCGCTCTCCCTCTGTTTTTCTCTCCCTCTCTCTGTCTCTCCCTCCCTCTCTCGTTCATGGTTTCTCCGCGCTGCTTGACCATGGTTCGTGCTTCTTTTATGCCGGGGGCGGGATGTTTGGTGGGGTACGAGAAGGGCGCCTCTGGAAAGGCTCGCAAGGTACGCCGCGGACGTGGAGTACCTGATGCTCTTGGACGAGACGAAGCTCAAGCAAGCCGTGGAGCAAGGGTCCAAGGACCCACCCATCGCTGGCCGGCACATCACGCACGATCCCACCATCACCATTTACAGGTAGGATTACGACTGTATGGTGCTCTGCTGTTGTATTATGTTGTGTAGTATGGTGGGGTGGCAGGGTGTGGCGTTGTATGGTGTAATAGAGAACGGCGGGAAGGAGGCGCCGTGTACAAAGCACGTCGCTTTCGATCCCGCCGTCACCGTGTGCGGGATATTCGATGACAATGGTGTTGGGACATGGTATGGTATGGTATGGTATGGCATGGTGTCGTCGTTCGCGGTGATGTATTGGGGCGGTATGACAGGTGTGCCTTCATCATGTGTGGTATTTGATCGCGAGAAATGTGACAGGCAGGCTGATACAAAAGAGTGGGGACGGGAGCGCAGCACCCCGGGGGGGGACGCACAGAGACAGGGGGGGGGGGGGGGTCGATATGCGCGTAGTACTGCTGTTAAATGCATCAAATGCTAATATATATAGATATGATGATGGTGCTCCACTTGTTGCGTGCTTATATCCCGTCTACGATGAGAAACGATAACCGTCGTGCGTGATGCGTGGAAACACTGGAACCCCTCTTGCCGCTAGTTATAAACGCGCGGTCTTTTCTTCCACCGCTAGACCGCATTCCTTCAATCCGTGCAGTAGGAGTATCGATCCATCCACGCAAGAACCCTCAGATATCTCAACCGCCTCAACAGTCGCAAGATGTTGTAGCTACTCTAGCGCGCGCTGACAGGGGCGAAACAACACACGCTTTTCGTGTTGTTACCTACGTACCGGATCTGTTTTTTCATCCACGCGCGGCACGCACCACAAAACACCTTTTTTGTTTCGACTCTCACCCACAGACCGCACGAGCTAGTCTACGGCAAATACGGCACGAGCCAGCGCCTAGCACCCATGTTCGCCTGCAAGGCCGGCCTGGAGCACCCCTTCTCGAGCATGCACCGCATCAAGCTCTTGAGGAGGATGGTGGAGAGCACCGAAGCCGACGGGTGTGTGTGTTTTTTTTGTTTTTTTCTTATAAGTCCCGACCCGGGTATGTAACCGGCTGACCAATGAAATTCGGCGTCAGGCTTGTAGAGGGATACGAAACACGAACACTTCTTTATCAAAGGGTACGGGTTCGGAGGGTGAAGTAAAATGTGTTTGACTGTACGTGTGCATGCGTGCGATTGTTGGGTTGTGGTTCGAAGTATTCCGTACTTGTTAGATTTTTTTTTTGCTTTTGTTCCGGAAGGAAGCTGTGTCGTGTTGTCGTTGTCGCCATGTCAAGGTCTTTTCGCCTTGTTTTCTAGAGAAATGTCTCAAGAGGGGAATGAGAATGGGTGGAGAACGCAACTTACTTGTGGGTACCGCTCGTTCTTTTCTTCGCCGGTTGGTGTGCTGGTGTGTTGACGTTCTTTTTCGCTTTCACTTCGGTCCATTCGATTACCAAAACGCGCATGTTAGCTATGTTTCGTGTATCCATCAGCGAAGCGACGGTCGGAGTGATGATCAGAGTGGTGGTGGTGCTGATGATGATTTTGCATCCGTTCGTGTATTCACCCGCGGTGTGCGTGCGTACCGTACGTGTGTGCTACAAGGTGCGGGATCAACGTATCGGTGCTCATGAGAAACGACGCCCTCAAGGCCTTCTTCCCCTTCCACCACGAGACGGTGCGGGACGAGCTCTTCGTCAAGTGGGTCAAGCGGTCCCTGCACCCGATAGACCAGCCGCTGGATGACATCAAGGTGGGGTTGTGTCTTGTGGTGGACGGAGCAGACATGGATGTGTCCATGCCATCATGACTCCGTCCCTAGAAGGGCTGATGGCGAGCTTTAGCGATCACACAGAAAGAACGCCTTTCGTGAGATGTTAGATCCAGAGAGGGTGAATCACACACCAAGACAGGAGGATCCCGTGTATTTCCCAAACAAAAGATGCATGTTTTTCACTTCTAAAAATTTAGGTTGTTCTCTATCCCTCTGTCAAACAAGAGATGCATGTACCACCCCTAAAAACTTAGGTTTTTCTCTTTCCCTCTGTCTAACGGGGATCGGTTTGAGAATCTGCGGCGCGCTTCTGTGGTTTGGCCTGTCTCTCTTTTCCCTTTTGCCCGATTCCCCCCCCCGCGCCCCTGCCTTCTTCGTATGTCTCTCCTTCCCGTTCCTACGACTCTCACTCTTTCGCATTGCCCAAAACACGTGGAGTACCAAATAAAAGGCTAGTCTGCTCTTCCTGTACCTTTTTTATTTTGCGAAAAGAAGGATTTGTCCTCGACAGACATAAGGAACTTGCATTATACCCATGATGAAAAAAGGTCATCTTCACACTTTTTTTTTTACGATTTTTCGACTCTCATTGGTTTTGGTTTCGTCTACGAAAGGAATACGTGGGCGAGAAGATCGGGATGTACTTCGCCCTCCTCGGCCACTACACCACCTGGCTGGCCCCGTTGTCGGTTCTGGGTCTGGCCATGTCGATCGATCAAGTTTGCGAGTGGGATCTTGACGCCGCGTTCGCCCCTTACTTCGCCACGTTCGTGTCCTTCTGGGCGGTGAGAGTTTTTTTTTTTTTTCTTCTCTCCCTCGTTGTTTGTTATCTTTTCGTAAAGAGTAGTTAGCTCCTTGCTTCGAATTTAAGGCGTTGTTGGTCTTGTATTGTCGTCGTGAGGTTGTAGTCTACCGTCTGAGGCTCGTCATTGGTTCATATTTGGATATATTTATTTATTTTTATGTGTCAGTATTTTGCTTGAATCCATCGGTGTGTAATGTTTGCTTCTTCGTGCCTTCATGCCGATTCTTTTTTTTTTTTTCTGTCCGCCGACGGCCCGACTTATTCTCCTACTTAATCTACACCAAAGTCCTTATCTTCTTGTTCGCTGGTGACACACACACACGCTTTACTTTTTTTTTATTAATTGTTCATCTCGTGTGTTTCGTATGTCCCTGTTGTCCTTGCTGCTCTCCGCTAATGCTAGTGAAACACCACGGCCCTCTGTTTCTTTCTTTAATTTTGGTTCATGTCGCCCTTGTGTTGCGCTTGCGCTAATGAAACCCAATTTCCATCACCCACCCGATCCGCAGGTGCTCATGTTGGAGTTCTGGAAGCGCAAGGAGGCGGAGCTGGCGATGCGATGGGGCATGTCGGATTTCGAGTCGGTAAGGTCTTCTGCTTGGTCTTCGGTCTTCCGCTACGCACAAGGCGGCGCAATAACATTAGTTCTCTACCTTGCATCATGTTCCTTCTGAATCATTCTTTTTTTGTTTTGGGCCGCACGGTTTGCTATTTATATTTAGATTTTTTCCTGTTGGCCTTTGTGAGCACCAGCATGCGCACATCGTAGAGCGACATTTTCTTCTTCTCTCTTGAGAGAAATGCGTTGATTGTATCTTAATGTCTCCATTTCATCTGTTTGGTGCCTAGATCGAAAAGACGGAATGCGGTTCGATGAGCTCGAGTTCATGCGTTTGTGCTGACTCGATGTGCGTGTTTCATTGCCTGTCGTTGTCATGTGTTTGTGCGTGTTCGTTGCTTGTCTTGTTGGCTTGTGTTGGTGTTGTCAGATCGAACACGACCGGGCGGAGTTCAAGGGCGACACGATGGTGTCCTTCGTCGACGGCAGCCCGATGACCTACTACCCCCCCGAGGTGATGATGAAGAGAAGAAGGAGGAGGAAATAACAACTCCAAGTACGAACGATAACAACAACCCAGCACGCCGCGCTTGCGCGCACATCCATCCATCCCACCTCGAACTTGACACTTGTGGTGGTGATGGTTTTGTCTTGCTTCATTTCGGTGTTTCTTTGGGAAGGCAGACCCGCCCTGGTTGGCTACGTGCTAGGGCGAAAGAGTATTACAGTAGTCTGCTGCTTTTTGTGTCGTGTATCTTGCTTGTATTTGCTTCTTCTGCGGACTTGTTTTGTCTGTTGAAATGCTACAACCGCCCAAGTCTTGTACGTAGCTCTCTTCTTCGTTGTCGTTGTTCTATGGCATGACCCCCAAACAGGAAGGTTCACTCTGTAGGTTTGTCATCCCCCAACCATGGTATTACGACTGACGCATGCAAATGTGAGCCCCCCCCCCCCCCCCCCCCCCCCCCCCCCCCCCCCCCCCCCCCCCCNCCCCCCTCGGTGCTTGTTATCGGGGTTGGGTTTTCGTCGCTTGGCAACGATGTTGGTGAAACTAGCCGATCACTTCGTGAACTCGGCAACCAGGTTAGCGGGGTTTTTTTGTTTCGAAAACTATAATGGTGAGTCGCCTAGGTGATGTTGTGCGGATTCGATAACCCTCACTCCGCGCCAAGGGAATGATCGCACTCGAGGCAGCTACACAGTGCTTATATCTTGTCTCTTGGAAGTGAAAGCACCAGAAAATAGATTGACCCATACGCAGCTGTCGTCCGTACGCAAGGATTTAAGCACAAGATGCCGAACACCCGTAAAAGGATGCAGCGCACCCTTCATGCGACTCGCCGCATACCTCACGGTGCCTCGCGCTTGGTGACGTGAGAGCCTAGTCCAGTGAGAACCCGGCGTGCTCCGTCCCGGCTCTGTCGGGATGCGAGGTCAATGGTCTAACGACTACGGCATGCACGACTATG